CGATGAGGGTGCACCGCACTACATCGCCATGATGGACCAGGCGGTGTACGGCCACCAACAGACGCTGTTCATTCCGATCACGCACAAGTCGGTGGAGGTGAGGATGCTGTTTGGAGATGCTCATGTCCGTGCCGACACGTATACGCAGCGCTCCTGGTGCATCCAAAGACGCAGGTGTCTCCGTACTATTCGTATTCAACGCCGAGCTGAAGCCCCTCCGGAATAAACTGTTCCTGATGAAGCAGAAGGATGCTGACGAGTACGCTGACAATGTGGTTGGTGGTTCGGAGGATGATGACGTCGTTGGGTTGGAGAACTAGTTGCTGCGAGCTGAGATCGGGATTCTAATGCTACTGAAGCTTTGCTAGTCGCGCTGGTCGTGTTGTTCGAGAGGCGTTAGCGGTCGTGCTGGACGTGCGGCTTTGTTGGCAAACGCGTTGGCGGGCGAGCAGGTCGTGCTGGATGTGCTGTTTCTGAGGTTGAAGACCGCGTTGTCCGCCGTGTTTTCCGAGCCGTTCAGTCTATGATGTCGGTTACTCTGTCCGAGATTGTCACTGCGAGGTAAAATTCATGCTGGTCAAGACTACGGAAACGGTGGTTGACTGCTGTTTGAGACCATGCTGATGAATACTATAGAAATTTGGTTGGCTATGCTGCTCTCTGAACCTGGTAAGGAATTGTTTTATTGAGTTCATTCTTTCAAAACCATATGCGGTGTACTCTACCAGCAATCAGTTCTGGATACAGATACAACTCAGTTGTCGACAACTTGTCGTACCTCTCTATGGCGCCAGTATACCGTTCAAACTGCCAAGAACTATCCAAAAAGCTCTGCCAACGTAACCTTCTGGTCCCTGAATCCTGTCAGCTTTTTTTCCTGAGGGAATGCTGGATCATTGTGTCTGGGGAATTCATGCAAGGCCGGCAGTGCAATGACCTCAAACTCACCAGAGTCATCTTCGACATGTTGGTTCAATGTGCTGTGTGCTTCCTCATACCCTCTATCAAGTTCTTCGTCTTCGAAGACCTCATCGAGATACTCACTCCATAACGCCATCGTTTTCTCTCCGTCTGCTCCATTACCTGGATCGTCATCGTCACCGTCGGCTTCAGAATCAGCATTTCTCTCTAGAGCTGGTGGTGGAGGAGGGGTAAATATTCCAACAAGTGTATCACGTACGATTTCGCGCTCATCCGGACACAGAAGCAGCTTTTTCTTCGAATGCATATTCTCGTGCTTCACTGCTCGCTGGCGGACGTGCTGGGCTACAGTCTGAATATCGAGCGCTTTGTCGGATGCCAAGCGATTCCTTTTCGCAGCATGATCCCATGCTCGCTAAACAAGCGCTCGCACGTTACGGTGTTCACCACAATCGATAATACTCTCATTGCCAGCATGGGAAGCTTACTTTTTGGATTCTTCTTGGCTATGTATTCCCAGTATTCCCAAGGACAGTTATCAAACTCACTGGGCCGGGTTCTTGTAAAACGGTTCTCCATCTATGAAAACATATCACGCTTGATAGTTCCCATTTCTTCAGTGTGAAACAGCCTCCAAAAGTAGTAGACCGCCACCTTCGGCAACGACCCAGCAGTGTTCGGTAAACTCCTGGCATCTTCTGCGTATACTGGATGTAGGGCGTATCCTAGTAGGAATAGGGGTTGTTCGCATTGCATCCAGCGATGCTCCACACACAAGCTCATCACGACGCAAAAACATCTTGGTTGACTCCCGAAAATGTTATGATACGACAAAAGGACATCATCAACCGTACTGTCATCTCGTAGCAGTCTGTAAGAGGCATACGAAAGCGGAGAAATGACCACTTCTGCTCTTTTCAGGTCGCTCCAAAAGAAACTACATTAAGTTGAGCCAGAAAATCATTGTCTCTGCAAAACTGATGGTGCAGCATCTGCAAAGATGACTGAACTCGTAATAGGGAAGCAAAGCACCCTTGCATGGAAATCCACCGAATTTAACACAGTGATCGCAGTCCAAACGTCCTTCCATAGAATTTCTCCCTAAGATTTTTCGCACGCAATAGCCACTTAGCTGAAGATGTATTCAAGCAGTTAAAGCCGCAGCTGCTTGACACGCCACATCACGAAATGATGTTTTGATGACGGCTTTGACGAGGTTATTGATGGCATGCGCAAAGCAAAATAAGAAGCAAATGTTCGGCCATCGAAGCGATAATACTCGACGTGCACGACCACACTGGCAAGCATCATCGGTGGCCATCGCACTACATCCCACCCATCTTCTTGAGCTTTCTTCAGAACTGACTCAAGTTGTTCAAGAATGGCAAGACCGTCAT